CGTATGCCATAAATTTGTTATCATATTTATTATTATTATTATTATTATTATTATTATTATTATTATTATTATAATATTATTATTACTATTACTGTTATTATTACTATTTATTATTATTACCATTTTGCTCTTTTTTTTTTACAACTTTTTTGGTCAGTTTCCATCTACTGATAAGATAATTTCTTATGAAATATATACAATATTTCTGATGTTAATTTCTTATGATATATATAATATTTCATAAGAAACAAACTTATCAATTGGATGGAAACTGACCGAAAGAATTGTTAAAAAAAGAAAGAGATGAAAATATTCCATCATTTTTCACTATCTTAAATTTAACGGACTGTCACTTTTTCTATTTTAAAAAGATAATTTTCACTTTCATATTACTTAGAAGAAAAAGAATGAGAAAAAGAAACTAACAGCATTTTTTCATTCATCGGCGAGTTTTTGATGCCAATGAATTACTGTCGAATTTTCACTTTTCATGAACTTTTATTCTTTCGTTCTTTTCCTGTGGTAAATTCATCAAGATCCTGAACTGCCAACTGTTCATTTTTCTTCTACTCACCTTTTCTTGAATAGTAAGAAAAAAATGAAGCGAGAAAAGGATACATGATCGTTTAGATAGATGAAACAATCCTTACATATCATATATTGATCCCGTAGAAAAAAGTATTACATCGTTTAGGCCCTCTTTGTTATTGTAGAAAGTGCGAAATGTATTTGAGTTGAAGATCAGTATCTGAATTTTTCTTCAATATATATGCTGCTAAATTAAAGTTATCACATTTTGATGAATTGCATATGAATTAAAATTTAGAAAGAAATATTATTCATATTTGCAATTGAACTATTAAAGAGATTTAAAAATTCAACATCAAATAAAAAGTTAAAAATTTAGGAATAAAATACGATGAATGGATAGATTGTCGTTTATGAAATATCTTAACAATCTAAAATAGCATATTGTTTTCCCCTCTTTTTCAACAGCACTGATACATAAATTCCATTAATTTTTAAACGATGGAAAAAAATAAATTCCTGAAATTTTATATTCGAATGAATTAATGTCATCGTAATATTGTTTCTTTATTTGCAAATATCTCATAATGTATTGGTCAAAAAGTTGTGGGAAAAGAATGGGAATGAATTATTAAAATTAAATTTTCCTTCAATCACAGTAATGTAAAAAGCTTTTTAAGGATATCAAATAAAATCTAACTTTCATATTCGAGAAATCTATTGTAAGTCATACTTACGATCTTATTGATAAGAACAAGTCTTAATTATGATCCTGTTGATAAGATCATAGCTAAAGTGATACAGAAAAGAACTTAAATATTCCTTATGGTTTATTAATTACGCAATGTTTGCTTATCTTTTTCCATTCATCCCATATCACTTTTCTATTTATTTATTTTTTATCTCATAAATTTCTACTTATATAATGAAATAATTTTAAATTCAGTTTCGAATTCAATTCTGACATTAATTACTATTAATTAAAATAATAGAGAAAGAGAGAGGGAGAGAGAGAGAGATACACTGATAGAAGTGATGTATTGATATTCTATTTTTCCGTCTATTTGATTGATTTCTTTCCGTAATTTTTCAAAATTTAACTAAATTGACACCTTTTTCTCCTTACAAAGTTTTTTTTTGCCATTGGATTTTACCGCCCAGGCAAATACTTGACTTTTGAACTTTGACCTTTTTTCATATGTATTTAGTTCTTGCCTTTTTTCTTCAAATGTATATAATTTCTGTAAAATTTGCTAAAAAATCAAGCTACAAAAGTATTTTTGAATTGAAAAATTTTTTCAATAACTTATGAAAATACATGAAAAAAATTTGTCATTAATTTTTGTTTTTGTTTTTACTAGTTTTGAACTATTTCATGAAATGATATGATAATCTTAAAATGATATCATCTAATAATTGTATAAATTTGAGAGTATCACGAGAAAATGAAAAACGAAAAGATACAAGGTATTATCATTTCCCATAATATGCTTAATTTTAGATTACAGACGAATATATATTTGTTCATTCCATAGATTTTTCAAAAGAAAATACTTTTTGCTTAATTATTTTTGCAATACTTTTTGTTTAATTTCAGGTTTTAAATTTTGATTAGTTAAATTTTAAGTCGTTCTCGATTCGTGATCCTTTAATAAAATGTAATTTTCTATCCAAATTTTTTAATCAAAGATTTCTTATTTATTCTCTTCGCTTTTTCATTTACGATAAACTCTTATAATTTTGCTTTTCAACAACTTAATACTAACTTTATCATTAAATATTTGATAATCAATGTATTATTTTATAAATGATCACTCATTAGTTGTAATTTTTGCTTTCCTTTATTTCTTATAAATTTGACCTCTGACCGTTTTTATTTCATTTCTTTTTCCATTTTGCCTTCATCTTTTAGATTACCAATTTTTACACCCAACAATTCAAGTATGTAATTGTATTATCTCGCTTTCTTTATGTTGTTGTTATTGTTGTTGTTGATCTATCTTTTCTTTGATCCATCTATTATTCTTTCTTTTTTCTTCAAATTTCAATTTTTTTTCAAAATACTTAGCAGGAGTCGGAAAACATAAATCATAATACTGCTAACGATGAAGGGTAGTTACCCTCTTCCTTGTCTTCGTATCATTCCGATACACTTTTTTTTTGTTCTTGAATTACTACTTTCAAGGTTATTGTAATCATCTGATGCTGTTTAATGGTAATATTTGTCATTTACACAGTCAACTACCGCCGTATAACTTCTCGGGATGACCAAGGTCATTTAGACTATGTCAATTACTATATAAAATATCATTGTGTAATCAAATTTAGAAAACATTTTTTATTCAATTCTATTTCTATTTTCTATTACAATTTTATAATTAATTTAAAGTATTCTATTAAAATTCCATTATAATAATATATCCAGAAATACTACATATAATTATAGAATCTGAAATTAGCATACCACGTAATATCTACAACTAATTGGATATCAAATTATGTTGTAATCTATTGTACATATTTATTTCACTTAGATCTATTTGTTGTTTTATCTATTTATTGTATTACTTGCAGATATGATTGGATTTTTATTATAGCACAAATTGTTGTTTTACATTTCATTAGCATATTATGCTTCATTAATAAATAACATAATGTAATTTGTTTGTTTTAGTCAATAATAAATCATTGTAGTTGCTTAGTTGATGATTGATGGTCTGATTTCAATTTATCATCTGATTTTAAATCTATCGTTTAGCTAAAATCTTCCGTCTAAATTATTATTCCGCGATATCATCCAAATTACTGCTTCCTCAATAACTAAACATATTAAAAGTTCAGGTGTTTATTGACCCTTTCATATTGCTTCTCCTACCATTACTAAATTATTGTCCCATTAATATTTGTCCAATCATTTAATTCCTTATTGGAATAACAAAGTTTAATGACATTCACTGCTCCAATTTATTTGGAACAGAGAGAATAAAATTAACTGAGTGATTCTCTTCATTTCATAATCATCTCGGATCTCTTAAATCTGTAAATGCAACCAACCTCTTTAACTATACTCCAAACGTTTAATGATTGAAGTAACAGAAATGATATTTTTTTATCTTTATCGTCTGTTTCTAGTTGTGTGTATGTCTGTACGAGATCCAAATATATCATGAACTTGATTTTAAAAAGAACAAAATGTCGGTTCTTATAAGGTCAAATCAATTTAAATCGATCCGCAATTTTAATTTTCATACAAAAAAGCCTTTTTCATGCCACCCGCTATATTCCCCGCATTCATTTTATTACTCAAATTATTATCATCTTTATTATTTTTAATTTACTTCCTCTTCATTATTTCCGGAACGATATTTTGTTTATTCAAAAAGACAAAAAATTAGTTGTTCGTTGGAAAATTAAAATTCAGCCATGAAAGATTTGAATAATTATATTTATTTTTCTATTTGAAATTTTTTAAATTTTAAAATTTTAAGTTATTTTAATTTGAAATTGTTTTATTGGAAATTCAACTAACTATCAACCTTTTGATTCTAACTTATACCATTCAATAATTTTTGTCGCAAAATTGTCGTGAGATTACGATGCACAAAGTTAATCATCTATCTCTCTTTTACACTTTTTACACTATTCCTCTTTTACACTTTGCCCCCGCAAACAATTGTTTACAATTCATTTATCAAACTGCATTCATCATATTTGTTGAGTAAGTTTCGAACAAACTTCCTGATAAAAATTATCAATGTCTATTATTTATTGTATAGATATAATGCTCCTTGAACAAAATTTAGGTATGACTGATAAATTAAGAGTAAGAATTGAAATGATCTTTTAAAATATTCGAATAAAACATAAGAATTTTATTACTTACATTAATGTTATTACTGTCTAATGACATTTTCTTTCCTTATCATTTGGTAAAATATAAAATGTAAAAATTATTTCAATCCTTTTCCATCTTTTCTTCCTTGTCCAGTGTTTTTCTTTGTCGAAAAAATTTTTTTAATTTTACGATTGAAGCTTGTGTATAAATTTTGTTAGCTTAGTGCCAGTTTTGTTTATAATTTTGGTCACTCTCTTCTCATGATGACCAGGATCGTTCGATCTCTTCCATTGTAGATTGTAGGATATGTTCCGGTTAATGCTACAATTTCACTTCAAATTATTACTATTAAAAGAATTGTGTTGAAATGTCTATAATACATTTGTTATTCAAAATCATCATTATTTTTGCATTTTAATCCGGCTTGCTCATATTTAGGCCGTGGTTAATGCGGAATTAGTTGTGATTAATTTCATTTCTATATTTTTACCTCTTATACATTCATAAAATTTATTTAACCGTCTATTTTATGTGTGGCAAATCTTTTTGCAAGTTTCATATTTTACGTTATTCGTCTATTTGCTTGAAATTTGCTATTAAATTTTAATAAAGATTGAAATAATTATAGTTGCTGGCTATGAGTCGTAAGGTGACAGCTTATGGTTTTCTATATGTTGCACCACCAAACATCGACTTTTCTCAGCCATCACATTCTGCAAAGGTTCAGTTTTCATATATTTCTTTTACCTAATTTTTATTCTATTCTTTTTCTTCGATTAAAACTATTGCTTTTGTCGTATTAAACAGATCGACTTATTGAATTGCAGCATTTTTAATAAACAAAATAATTCACTTCCTGTATTTCATATTGAAAAATACAAATTGAAAGATACAAATAAATTCAAATTTTCGGTTATATATTTTTCCTCGAAAAAAAGAATTTGATTTACAGAGATGGCAACGACGATGTTTTACATTATATGAAGATGGTGAACTAAGTTATGCGCTGGATGATGATGTTAGTAGCTTTTTGAAATGTTTTTGAATAATTTTTCAAACATAATTATTTCTCATTTCGAATTTTATTCATATTAATTTACTTATCTATTTGTTTACTTGCTTATTTTGACGCCTGTTTTCTTCATCTAATTATTCTCCTTAATTATTTCGCTTAATTAAATTTTTATTGAAATTCATTTTTCAGCCGGAAACAGTTCCACAGGTTAAAATGGATATGAATCTGTGCATACGGGTTTGTGAAGCAGATGTAATAACGGGTCATTCGCATAGTATTCTAGTAGCATTCCGAAATGATTCCTCAAATTCCGGTATTACTGGTACTTGTGATAATATCGAAAAGGATGCCACAACTACTAATAAGCATGTGCCAATTTGTTATATGAAAGCTGATACAACCGATGAGATACGATGGTAACTCTGTTTTTACTATGTTTGCATAATTTTAACATAGCGATTTTATCCTGAAAATCAGTACAATTGAACTATCGCTTCATAAATCGCGATTATTTTTTAAATTAGAAAAACATTTCTCCAGAATTTCAAATCTTACCAAAAGTTTTTCAGGTGGCAAAGCTTACTTCAAAAATATGCGAAACGTAGTATTTATCGTATGACTGCGACACCAATGCGTATGCTTGATGATGAACAACAACGGATATCGGATGAAATTGTTGATACAGAAGAAATGATGGAAACTTGCGGACCAACAATTATTCAGGTTAAATAGTATTGCAGGAATATCAGCAATTTATTAGTAATACTTCAACGTTCGCTTAAATTTCATGTTTAAAAATATATTGTCAAATACGTAGCATTGATTTTTTCATTTTTATCTTTCATAGATCTAGCGTTTTATTTTCTTTTCAAAAGATTTATCGATAAAAAACCTCAAAATCAGTATAAGATATCTTCGATACTTTGCGCCAAAAACCCCATTTTTCTGATCTGTACCTTTTCCCACTTTCTTTTTTCTCTCTATCATTTCTTCTGTCTTCTTTTTTTCCTCAGTTCTAGACAAATTTCATGCACACCGATTTTTGATGTTCTTTTAGGTATTTTTCTGAGAGCTTTTCATCCTGAGAAATTATTATTGAGAGTATTCTTACCCTTTGATAACATTTAGTTGATTATGACCGATTGTCCATATATGTGTTATCAGTCTCTTCATTTTTCAGCTTATTTACCTTCTAAGCTTGTAATTTCTTAAAAGTCTACCAAATATTTCAAAGAATTCAAGTAATGTAATTTAAATAATTCTTCCCCAAACATTAATTTGATCAGTTTTATTGAAATTTTGAGGAAAAAAAAAGATCGAATCATAATTTTTTTGTCAACAACGCACTGAATACTAAGAGCAAATAAAATTTCAAGTTCAGTACTTTAATAAATAACTATTTCCAACCAGCTTAAATAATTTCAGCCTAAAATATTTCCAACTTTTCCAACCAATATTTCCAACCAGCCTAAATAATATTCTGCTTGCTGAATAATTATCTTTTCATTTTTTTAGAACTAAATTTTTTTCTTTTGAATATTATTCAAAAAAATTATCTAAATTAAAAATTCAGACCTTCTCAAAATGAATTTAGCAAAATCATAGAACGAACCATTTATATTACATTATGCAATGAAACATTTCCCACCATTAAACATTTCCATGCAATATGATGAAAAAATTTATTCCAAAATGATTAGTTAAAAAATTTTTCCTTGAAAGTCATAGAAAAAATGATATTAGGTCTAACAGCAGTAGTCAATTAGTATTAGTTATTATTACGTTTCCTGATTTCAATTCAGGAATTAGATATTACAGCAAACATTGAATTGACATCAGAAAAATTATTTAAGTTGAAAAATTGAAAAAGAAACGTAAATCTTTCACCGATTAAATAATAATAAATATATTTAGATTTCATTTTTCCTTCTAAATTTATGACTTTTTTTTTCAGAAAATATTCCATTTATTTGCATATAATTTATTATCCTAATTTGTTTATTTTTATATGCAGGAAAAAAATATCTTCCAAAACTATCTGGAAATGAAGCTTATTGACTTTTTCACTACTATTCTTTTGAGGTTTTTTTTGGATTACCCGAAAGAATTGATTTCAGGATAACTAACTTTTCTTATTCATATCATTTCAATTTCAGGTGAATGATTCACTCTCTCGTCCAGCGAGTACTTCATCAACACGATCAAATTATGAGGTACAGCAGCAACCAATATCACAATTGGATCCGTTGTCAAGCGTGGTAACACGGGTAGGCTTGGGCACTCGTTCGAGCTCTGTTGATGCACATCACGGGACACCACGAGCTGTAAAATATCGAAATAAAGTTAATAAGTGAGTTCATAGTAACAATTCATTAAAATTAAACATTAAATCTCATGACTGAATAAGCGTGAAATTAATGAGCAATAATGTAATTCAACAGTGATTGATCTTATAATCATCAAATATTATGTTATGAAATTATTTCGAAACTTTGAGTTTTAAATTTGAAGTTTGAATTTCTTTTGAATTTATAAAAATTAGACCTAAATAATAATGTATTTTATTGAAACAAAAAAATGAACGTTTCATTATTAGTTCGCTGACGAATCTGTTGGGTGGCCTAAATTTCTCAGCAAAACTCATTTTAAATTTCTCGATTTAAATCCATTTGCCTCAGAAAATTCTTAAATTTTTTTTAGCTTTTTATAATTTTATATTCTAAATTTACAGTTACAAATTTTTATATTAGTTGAGATTCAATCAATTTTAATCATACAATTTCTACTTATTCCATAACTTCCATGGTTGTGACCTTTAATTACGACCGTGATTTTCCCATTGTTCCCGAGAATAATTATTATTAGCATTGTCAGTGTAATAATAATAATGATTAAGAATTACGATGGCACCGTTTTTATCGCTATTTGTCATGATTTCAATTTTACAACCATTTCGTTATCATGTGCCAATTTTCTCTTTGTTCACATCACGTATGAACTAAAAATCTGTTCCCGTTATCCTTATTAGAGAAAAGAGATTAGCAATTTTTCAATTTTTTTTGATTTATCTTTATCAGATGTGGAAGTTTATTTTTTTTCATTAAAAAATAGTAATTAAATTGTTTTCACATCATTCATTTATCATACGTCTGACAGTATTTTATTTATCAAAAATTCTTGAATTGGACAAGGATATTTATTTTGCATTTTTTTTGACTTAAAATTTCTCTATTGTTTTTGACAAGAAGAATATAAAGATTTTAATGAGATTTAATGAATATATCGCAATGAAAACTTTTCTGCAAGATTGTAAAACGAATTCTTTATAGGAGATTTATGTGAAAGATTATTAGTGTATTTCTTTATTTTAGAGAGGAACCATCACGGAAATCAACAAATGATGGAATTACGAATACTGCAGGAACACCTCCAGAAACACCACCACCACTTCCAGAATCACCATGTCCTCCGTTATCTTCTCGAAAGACACCACTTTCTACTGTAAGCTTTCCATCTTATCAGTTTTATTTTAAAATTTCCGTGCGTAAATTATAAATAACCTAAAGTGAGTTAAAAACATACATTTAATTCTTAAAAAAGTTGGTGCTCATATCTTCACACTGTGACCCATTTTTCGTTTAACTTTGTTCCAGAACATCTAATATCATTTAGAAAGATAATTGTATCATCTCTTAAATGTTAATTTGATTGTCATTGTTTTTTGCAGTACTAGAATATATGAAGATGATGCGGTTGAAGTTTAAAAGAAATTCAATTGGAGTATGGAATTTGTATTTATAGTTTTTCTTTTTCAGCCGTTTTCGATTGATACATCTAGTGCACATACACTTAGGAAAGGCTGGTTGATGCTACGGGGTAAAGGTGCTTCTGAATGGACAAAACATTGGGTGGTATTGGCTGGGCTTTCACTCAAATTGTATAAGTATGTAAATTTAGCTTTTTGAAATTTTATGAATTATATTATATACTTTTTTCCCGAGATAAGTGTCAAGTAGTCATGGTGCTCATCAGCAAATGAGATTTCAGTATGTCTCTTTTTTATCACTTCATCCGTTTCTTGATATTTAGAGATGTCTGGGCTGAAGATTCTGCTGAACCGTTGCTTTCCGTAGACCTCAATGAATGTGAAAATGTTTATCCATCAGCTTCTGCTAAAAATTATGGCATTGAAATCAAAGTTAGTTCCTTTTTTTAATCTTATAAATTCAATGGTTATCGTTAGTATTAGAAATTATTTCATTCTACATTTTCAAATAATTTCAAGAATCCGATGATCAATAAAAATTATTTATTGATATAACATTTTCCTCCCAAAAATTCAGCGAAATATGTGAAAATTTAGTGTCGGCGAACTCGCTATGTGCTTTCGGCAATGACACCTGGAATAAGGGACAGTTGGATTTCAGCTCTGCAACAAAATTTACACAATCCTTCGCCTACTTATGCTGAACCTTGTGCAAGTGATGCTGCAAGTTTACCTGAAAGTGATCTGGCCTCGTTATTACCGGTAAGTACTGAACGGTCTCCTCTTTGAAATTTCAAAAAGACGAATTTATTCTTATTTTTATAAATTCATCATTGTTTCGCATACATTTATCTACTCAAGATATTTGCTACTGCCTTATTTATCCAATTCTTTCATGTATTTTCCTTTGTCAGCGCAAAAAACATATTGCTTACGTGGCACCTGAATCTCATCACTCAAATTCAATGATGGATGACGAATCATGTACTGAAGATGAATTGAATTCTCTTGATCGACCGTTCAGAACTCAACAAAGAAGTCTCTCCGAAAGGTTTCTTTTCTTGCTTTGCTCTACAATTTGCATGTTGATTTTATTGTCAATCGAACTAACCAATAATATGCACGTTGACATCGATTCTCTATGTTGTATACTGGCCAACTCGCAAAAATTTCTTTTGAATTCAAGCCATGTATTTGCTTTCAAAATTTCATTAAACGTTTATTTTACAGATCATTCGAATCGTCAGACGACGATAACGAAGTTGACAATGACCGGCGACATTCCCCTCAGCAACATCATAGTGGTCGCGATCAAAGCTTATCACCAACTTTCCGTCGTTCGCCGGTGTCACGTATCAAAGATAAATCAACCAATCGACAACAAAATGGTGCGATAAGGTACTATGCAAATATTAATATATAAATTTTTCTCCATTAATTAACCTGACCTATAAAAAAATTGTAAGTTTTAATTTACTGATAATTAGAAATTTTCTAACACCTAAGTAGTAGTCATTTACTGATGACTATTATTTAGGTGTTGGAGAATTTCTTATCCTAAAATTAATCACCAGCTTACATATTAATGTGACCTTTGACTTTTTGCTTTTTTATCGAAATTTTTAAGAAGAGAAAGTTTTTGCTTTATAATTGTTTAAGAGCAATTTCTTTCATATTATACAATTGAGAAACTGAGAAATTTTTATCAATAATTTGCAATCTCCTGGGAGGAAAAGGGCATTTGTGTAAATTAGTGTAAAGTTAGTGAAAGTGAAATGAACCGTGCAGAAAAATGCACCTTTGAATTTCTTACTTCTTAATAAATATTTTTGGTCTATATTTAATAGAATTGCTATTTTTTTTTTAATTTTCATTAGGATAATTACTCTTTAATCATTAACATATTTGAATAAATATTCAATTTCTTAACTTTATTAAAGTATAGGATGCTTATTTGTAATTGATAGAATGGACAAATTATATACATATATGAATATTTGGGGAAGCTCTAAAAACAGTCGTGCAAAATAAGTAAATATTTGAATGTTATAAGGAATACATTCTCCAAAAGTTGAATTTTTATTTTGTAGGAATGGTTCTAGTTCATCGCTTTCATCTGTTATACCTCCAACTGTGCAATCGCAAAGATATAATTCATCGGTAAATATTAATGAGATCTTTAATGATTCTATCATATTTTGATGGAAAAACTTTTTGTCTTAAATTTAAATTTGCAAATATTTTAGAAAGATAGATGTTCATAATCGATAGTAGATTCGATTCATTTATTTTCTTACTAAAATGTTATAAATAATTTAATTTTAAAAATTTAAATTAAATAGTAGATTTTCTTATTATATTAGCTTATTATATTTGATTTGATTACCGTTAGTGGTGGCGATTTTATTTTACCAGTTTCTGCCAATATTTGTCCTTTTTCATTCCATCTTTTCTTGCTCTCTCTCATTTCAATATCTTCCACTTCTTTCACTCACTAAGTTTACATAACTTAGAAATAAACTTCTTTCTAGTTAATATTAGCCATACCACTCAAGTCAAATTTACTTCTTTACAACAGCCAATTCACTTTATGTACATATTACCAACGCATAGTACGATAATGACCACATGTAGTAGTCTTTATGAAATCTTTGCTTTTCTTGGGATTTTTAATACAGAAAAACATTTTTGAATCAGATTAAAATTTTCCTATGATACATTTATATCATATGGTCATTCAAATGCGATATGTCAACTGAGTTATTTGTTGAGGTTAGTTATGGGCGAAATATTGAAAGTGATCTATTATGACACTATTTGTTCAATTATTAAACTGTAAATGAATTACTGCTGCTAACCTTAACCAACCCGCACATCTTCACATCTAACTATCCCGCAGATATTCATATCTCCCGATTAAAAACCCCAGGAAATTCACCTTGCTATATTTTAAGGCTATCATTTGAAATGTTTTTACCATTACTTTTTTGTTGTCAAATTATTTTCACAAGAAATAAGCATAATATAATGTGGTGAAGAAAAGGTGCCATTAGCTTTATGCTATGTAATATTTTGATCGTAATTTTATCTTGCCTCTTCTTTTTCCTTCTCTTGTTGTTGTTGTTAAAACGAGTTTCTCGTATTTGCAAAAGGGAAGGAATATATATATATATATTTAATCAGCTTATTGATATATTTTATCATCAGTCGCTTTTGACTAATAGCATCAGCATTCAGGGATGAAACTTTTATAATCATCATTCTTTCAAATAAAAAATATTTCAAATAATTTCAAATAAAAATAAACTTTTCAAATAATTTATATTTCAAATAATTTCAAATAAAAATAAACTTCTTAAGATTAGCTATTAGTTTATCAACATTAGTCGAGATGATGATGATTTGTACGATTGTTTACAATTTCAATGTTTCTTTTTTTTTTTTTGAAAATTTCAAATAATAATCTGTAACTTCAACTCTATCTATGAAATTTAAAAGAAGTCATCTAATATATCTGCAAACAAGAGCTTCTTCTTGCATCTCAATCTTTTTTATTATTTCAACTTTCTTGCTTAAAAACATAAAGGGAATAAATATCTCGAGCATTTGTGAAAGATGAAAAATGAAAACAAACTCTTCTTCTTCAAATATCATTTCATTTAATGCACACATTTTGATCGATCGTATATCGTATCAATTAAAAACATTTCAAATTGCCTTAAAAACATACATTTTATGCTAATACATAGTAATGATAGTATAGTTGTAGAAATTTAAGAAATAGTTAATTACCTAATTATGTATCAGATTATAATAAATTCATTATATTACAAAAGATTTTATCAAATTATAAGATTTTTATTTCAAAAGGGATGATATAATAAATAAAATCCTAATTTTATACATCATTCTTGAGAATATCTGCAGATATTTGTCGGTAATTTTAAACGATAACTATATATTGTTTGAATTTATTAATGAATATGGAAGAGTTTTTTTCTTCTTTTGATTTATTTTAATTGTAGAGGTCAATATCACGAGAACAGAGTGCATCTCTGCAGGAGATGAGATTACGAACACTCGAATCACAGGTGATTTATTTATAATTTTGCATATATGCTCATTAAAAGGAAATTTTTAATCTTAATGTTAAATCATCATCTGCACAATCTTATTGAAACGATCAAAATTCTAATCATTTAGTTCATACTAAAAATAATTTTAAATAAAATTATCACTGTGATTCATATATTTTATATTAAAAGCAATGTTTCCTTAATGAAACTTTACGACTTCATTGATTTGAATTATATTTTTATTTGTTAGAAATTTCGGTCGTGTATTGTTGTAAGTTTAATTGCAACTTTTTTAATCAAACAACCTATCACTCAATTTAAAACTTCTAATCGAATTTAAATAATGTAATTCAATTCCTCTAGCAATCTCTAGTACCCTAAATTGCTTTATTTATTTTTCTTTAGGACGTTTGGTTTTTCCATTTTTTTAAAAGATAAAACTAATTAGTGATATCTTTATCTATATATAATAAATCAACTTTATTAATAAATTGAATGGAAGTTTTAGAATTAAAAGATAAGATTACACTAATACAAATTTGGAGATATGAAAAAAAGAAATACTCCAGCACACAGCCTTGTACCAACCATTGAAACTCATCGATAAACACATACATCATCAATTGTCCTAAATATTTCATCATTCTGCTTTAAATGAATGGAACAAAATTTAATTCATTAATAGGAACGTCAGTAGGGATAAAATTCTGATAACACTCAGCTACAAAAATACAAATGTAAAAGCAGAAAAAATGTTCCACATCGAAAATTTTTGTTGTAAATGTTATTCTTTCATTTCAAAATGAGATCACGAAATGTTCGACCATTCACTATAGCACGATTCCCGAGTATTGCATTCTGTGAGAGGTCGTGATTCGATCTTTCGAAACAGGCCGATCATAGTCAATGTTCCGAAAATGCGTTACAATTTTTTAGATCTTTACTTCCTCATAGCGATTGTCAATTAATATCATTCATCGTTTACCTTATCATAATTGGCTTACATATGGTTCTATCTTCTTCATTTTGCACAAAACTTTTTACGATATCTCAGTATGTTTCGATATAGTCCCATTATCATTTTCTAATTTAAATATGTAAAAAAATGATAACATCATCTTTCTGTTTATTAACAATCAGAAAAATTTTAATAGTTGGAGATTTATTTGCATTATTTAATAAATTTGTTTCACTCATTTTTTACTTCTACTTTTATTTTTAAAATATGAATCTAATTGATTCTTTTCTCCTTATTTGTTTTATTTGAATTAAGTGAATAATTTGCGTATCATTGTCTTAGCTATATTTTACAGATTTCAGTCTAAATTCAATTAATCACAAGAAGACAATTATTATTGTTATCCTAATAATTCGTTAAGTCAACATAAAATCTTGGTTATAAAAACTAAATGAAATAAATCGTAATATATAATCAGGTGGAAAATCTCCGTGATCAGCTACAAGATACAACATCAAGACTTGGTGAAACAAGAAGTGAAAACGAGCGTTTACGATGTCTTTTTTTGAGTAGCGACGTAAGTTCCGGAATTTTGATAACATATCTTTTAGAGATTTTAAGGAAATTTTGCATACCTGAATCTTAAACATATCCTCTTTTTTTTGCTTTTGCAGTCACAAGGCCTTTCGCAATTACGACGTAGTCTTACGGCGGCTGAAGAAGACGTAATCCGAAAACGTGAAGAAATGGAAACATTGCGGAGGCAGCTTGCTACACCAACTCGAGAAACTGATCCACAATGTGAAATTAGGTAAATTTTTAAAACAAACGGGAATTCTTTTTCACAATAAAATCGTCCAATCATCAGAAGGATTAGTAAGTTTATCTGGGATTGGCAACATTAAAATTTTAAATACCGTTATTAAGTTAGGAAAATTATCAGGAATTAATGTTTCTGGCTCAGGAACATTCTAGTGCTAATATGCTTAATGTTGAATATAGTAATATGAGATTGACATCATCTCCTTTGATTGTAATTTTCAGGTATAAACAAGTCGTTGAGCAGTTTACAAATCTGCTCAAAGTTCAAGTTGGTGCTTTATCACGTTTTGTGCATTCCCAAGCAGGTAGTATTGAATACGCCGAACTGCGACAATCCGTCGATCAGCTAATTCGAAGAGTAGCTGGCTTAGATGAAATTACTCAAATGGATAGTAAAATGAATCTCATTGAGGAAATGTTGAATAATGTATCTGAAGCTTACGAAAAGGTTTAAAACTTCGAAGTTTTATAATCATTCAGTCCGAAGCATATTAACTACAAAAGATATACAATGTTCAAAAATAGCTTCCCGATTGTTTACGAAATTTTCTAGCATGATAAGGATTATGCTAGACTTTGGTATACTTTCAAAGAAGAAGTCTCATAATATATGGGAGTCGAAGAATGAATCGATTAGATTATTCCTAAATATTTTAGAGTATACTGAGAATTGTTTTAACCCTTTTCTGAATGAAAAATGTCCATTCACTCTGCTTAATAGTTGTTTAAAATTACTTGATATTAAATGAATTAACATATTTTCATTGTACATTTTTTATCTTTTAGGTAAGTAAAGTACTGATAAGAACACAATGCGAGGCACAAGGAAAAGATGTTCATGCGGTAAAATCATTATTTTATCCATTGTACTTTCACTAAAGTTTAAACGCTGCATGGACATTTCTGTATCCCAAAGCACTAATGTATGTTTAATTTCCAGGAACGTCCGTCATCAGAAGATATTGCTGATGAAGTGCGGGATTTGGAAAATGAACTGGAGGAACTTCAGGTATTTAAACATTCTTGTATGCTTGTATAAAAGTGCTATTCTGAAATCATACTGCATGTTTTTGCTTTACAGATCTTGTTACTATACTGTAAATGCTTAGTCCTATTATCACTTGGAGCTCATAATTCTTTATTCACCTTTGAATTTCAGGCTGCTCATGCTGAAGAAATGGAATCTATGCAATCCAAGTTTGAGTATCAGTTAAAATTACTTCGAGAACGCCTGCAGCATGAAGAACATCGGCGGAAAAAAGCACAGGAGGAGTTGCAGACATTGAATGTAAGTTCTGTAGTATTTATTTAAAAATAACAAATGCAAAAAGTTTGAAAAAATATGGCGAAGAAACGAAGAAAGGAAGAAGAAGTCGGGGGAAAAAACAAATTGGAAAGGCTTTGATTGCAATAGTTTCAATAAAAATTTTCCAGTCTTTAAATGATCATTCGTTGTCCACAATGAAGAAAACGCATGAGGAAATGTTGGCGGAACAAAGACGACAATACGAGGAGCAAATTGCTGCGCTTCATGAAGAACATGCAGCGGAATTGCAAGAAGAAAAGAAAGCCACCAGGTTTCTTTTGACTTTTTTACTATACAGATGGTTAACTTTTTTACTGTACAGCTGGCAATAAAATCTTTCTCAGAAAGTCACTTTAAAGAAATAATCACAATTTCTATGAAATTTTATTATCAATGTTGTATTAAGACGAATTTAGTCTGGACTTCATTCCGCGGTTCTTCATTTCCTTCCTTCTTGACGATCTCTGTTATGTTCTTCGCTTTACTTCTAATCTGTATTAAGTTAGCATAAACTTTGTGCAATAAAGTTATTTGCTTTATTAAATTGAAGAATGGCATTGGATGCAGTACAGCGAGCGCATGATGCTGAATTGAGAAATATTAATGAAAAAGTTCGCAATATTGGTAGTAATAATATAATCTCGACCCAAGCAAACATCTCTGCGGAATCAAGGACCGATATGCAGTCTACAAGACAGAGGTAAGCCTTATTTTTCATTAAGATAATTTAATTAATTTACTTCTTGTTTATCTGGTTGTCTATTTCTTTCTATTATCTTTTTACAGTAAAATGTTGGAACAAATGAGTGCTGAATTAGCTCAATTGTCGGCGTTGTACTCGGCAAAATGTCTCGAGAATTCTCAGCTCGATGAGAAGATGTCTTTATTGCTGGCCGACAAAGAAAACCAGTCATCTTTGAAGTGCTTGAAACATTGCTTTCCTATTTTTTCTTTTTGTTTCCTTTGTCTCTCATTTCTCAATAAAACTCGTTTTTCATTTTTAATTATTTATGGAATTTAAAACCAAATTCATCAGACATTTGACGAGATTGCTTTCATTTCATTAATACTTAAACTTGATAACAGAAAGTTTCGAATACCAATCAATTCTCATGTGTGAATTCTTAACGTTTTTATTTGCAGTGATGTAGAAACCCAAAATCGACGTTTGCATCGTGAATTGAGGCAAAAAGACACGATAATTGAAGAGCTAAGGAAGACGGTGGCATTTCTGCAGCACCGGTCTGTTGATTTGACCGGTGAAGAACTTCCAATTAAATATGGTAGGCTCACAATATATTTTTCTAATGTTTCACTTGAATTTAACATCCCATGATTGGATTCAACTCTAGAAAGTAGACTCAAGAAACCCACTGTAGTTCACTGTCTAGGAACAGATCATGATGATCTATTACCTCAATTCTTCCACACATATAGTCATATTTTATTTACTGATGATGCAGATAAAATCCACCAGCGGGGGAATTTACTACAAATCACTTATACTCACTTACTTACACATTTTTCAAGCTTCTTTGGCTGCAAGTGCAAGGGCCCTCTGGCATCATTGTCATCCTTTGCTTCTTGGTAATTTTATACATGTCGATGCATTTCCTTCAAACATATTTCTTTTTTTTTGAAGTTGCTCGGTTTTCGAAAAATTCCATTCAAAAATTTAAGTTGTTTGCAGAATTACCAAAACGACAGAATCGGTAAGCTTCTATATGCGTAAAAAAGTATGAAATTGGCTTGGCGTTGTGGACTTGGAATTTGATTTTTCTAGTTTAAGATCACCAAGAATTTACTGTGAAATCCTCATGAATCTCTCCATATTTCATAAAATTTCTAGCTTTCTTCGCTTTCAAAAATTTTCAAATTTCTGTCCTCATGGTGATCGTAGACAGTGAAATAATTTTGTCTTTCAATCGTCTGATGCATGCTTATTATTTCTAAATTCTATCTTTCTTAGTAAAGCATGTTGCCTTAGCTTTACTAGCAACTATCAATCCTTTCCCATCAACCTCTTTTCCTGTCAACTTTGTGCTTTGTGCCTTTAATTCAGTTCTATCATTATTAAAAAATGAATTTGTAATCGAAATTCCAATAGTTATTGTTTCATTATTACATTGATGCAAAAAAGGATAGCACTAATGGAATTTTCATCAAATGAATTATTGCTGTTGACAGGAATCATCATTATTGTGAACTGTAAAGACAGTATTTTTGATACAACTAGTGCTATGATTTTTTGTATCAAAGTATTTGAAATATTTGTTTCAATGGCATTACATTACCGTTACATCTTTCCACTATAGAGGAACGCGCAGACGACGTACCGCTATTGCTAGAGGAATCGATGACATCCCAAGTAGCTCAAACTCATTCCCCAACTCTCCAACAACAGCAGATAGCCCTCAGCTTTCCAACACTCAACAACAGCAACAACATAGCAACACAACCAGCAGCTGTCGTTTCATCGATTTGGCGTCTACCATCCGGTCAAGGAGTCAAATTTCGAAAAAATCGTCAAGTGACACCAAAAATGACTTCAAGACGTAATGGTTGGTAATTCAATTAATAAACTAGAAGTGTAAAATTTGGCGAACTGAGCGAAACTTAAAAATCAAATTAAGATACAAAATCAACTTGAATTTTTAATATACACTTTATCATCTATCAATGAAGGCTTTCCTTGTCTAATATGTTAAGCGCGCTGTTTAGTCTGCTAGTTCGATACTTTTTTCCTGTTTCTGTTTATGTGCAGAATTCTGTTGTACATTGTTTTCCCCCATCTTAGTTAGTGATCATAACTTCGAACAAAAGTTCCAACAGACTTCTTGCACGAGGATATTTTGCAGTTACTTATTAATACAAATATCTAATAAAATTTCAGACGTTAGATTCCATAGCAATCCAGCGATACCGGTGAGTGAAATAACAAGTGATTATCCGGCTAGTGAGTTACGACGTTCGATGATTATTCCAGTTAGCGAGCGCCGGAAATTCTTTGAAACGATCGCTGAATACAGTCATCCTTTCTAATAAAAAAGTGATATTTCGAAATATTAAAAAAGAACATTCCTTTCCTATTGGACAGGAAACACTCAAGTTATCACTTGCTACAACCTTTAAAAAAATTCTCAAAATAGTCAGTTTTCCATTCTCAAAGTTCTAGTCAGTTTCTCGGGAAAACAGCTTTGAAGTAGAGTCCTATGCATATGAAAAAATGAGTTAAGCCTAAAATTAATTAAAAAATTTAACAAGCTTAGAAATTCCTCTCAAATTCATTTAGGAAGATATTTCAGCAACTCCTTTTTATGTAAAATTACTTCACAGTAAGTAATTTGTAGTAAGACCAAGCCTTCAGCTATTTGCTATTTGAAGTGCTCTCATTAACGTTTATGCTAACTCATCATTTTCTCCTTCTTTCCCTTCAAAATGTCGATGTCCATTTGTATATTTTCACTAAAACAAACTGCAACATTTAAGAATATGTTTACATAACGGCGACAAAATCAATGCTAGTTGGTAAATGTACGGTCTTTCTCTTTAAATTAACTGATTATTTATGCCAGTGATTGGTACTGCTCTGAAACTTTAATTTCAGGACTATCCCTTGCTTTTCAATCTGTTATAGAATATACCGGCCTTCATATTTCCTATGAATTGGCTCGAAATTAAGCTTTTCTGAGAAACTGGCTGAAATCGATGCTATTAATGAAACTACATTAAAACTATAGCTGAGTTACTAGTCATCCACTTCTTGCTGTGCGAATATAATTGCGCATTTCAGTATGGAAAGTGCCAAACAAGGCTTTATTTTTATTATACTGTTTAAACTCAATTAAACTCAATGGAAAGCAAGGGACTGCAATTCCGCACTTCAAAAGATAAAAATATTGAACTGATGTTTCCCTGAGTAGCTTTGCACTCTTCCCTATAATAATGAAAATTCAAAACTTAATTTTAAAAAATTCCAAATTCCACAAACTATAACCCAATGCTGGGATGCTGGAAAAACTGGCTTTTGTGCAATTTTAGACTGCATATAGAAAATATAGCCAATTGTGTTCATATCCTGATAGTTTCTTAAATCAAAACTCACAAATTAATTTAAATCCTATTCTTGAACAACCTACCCATCAGTTCTCATACAACATTAAATATTTTTAAATGCCATTCGCCTAACGAGCGATAATACATTTGTTGCGATTCGCTTGCTGTCTGTATATTATTGTATAATAAATGAAATTCCTTACAATAGCATTGGACAGATCACAATATTTTAAGCATCATGAAAATCATTCTATACCTTACTTACAACCTTACAACGTTTAGAACGAGAAAAACTTTCACCAACAAAGATTTCATTATAAAATTATTAATTTCAGATATTATATTATCATTTAAAGAACATGGGTTTTTAAAAATCTACAACATTCTCTATCTCCGAATTGAGTGATATTTCTTTTGGAGTGCGTCGAAATACTAAAGATTGGTCATTTCTGTATAATAGAACTATCATTAAAGCACATGAGACATCATGAACAGTAAGATTATCATACACGAAAACTAAATCAGAAAAACAGTCATGATCTACCAGATAACGAAATAATTTAAATTAAAAGCAAAGAACCTAGTACCGGTTTGGAGAAATATTCTCACAAAAACTGTACAGAACAAAATCATACAACAAGGGATGCATTTTGTATTCCCCTAGAACAATAACTGGATCTTGACAAGTTCCAGAATTATACTGACTCTTTCCCCTTGATTTATCTAGCCATTTTTTCAAAACTCAGTCCTGCAAAGATGGTATAAGCAAGCATTCGTATTAAAGTCATTTTCGATCTGTCAAAATACTTTGAAATGTTAAAATATGACAGGAAATTACAGAACTGGAATTAGTAAAAAGTGAAACTAATGTGTGAACAACTGTAATAACCTAACTAATCGTCAAAATTCAGTTCATTCGCTAATAACACAAGCAAAAGCAAAGCGTCACGTAGTCTGGAGTATCCCCTCATCCCATTTCTACAGGAATTTTAAAATGAAGTGAATGTGTCACACAAAATTTTCACTTTCCAGTACTACCTTTCATTTCTTCATTGCTTTCATGTGATTCAATGCCGAGCCAGCTTTAAACCATTCGATTTGAGCCACATTAAAACTGTGAGATAACCAGATCTCCTCTTCTTTACCATCAGCGTGTTTCAGGATGCTTTTCAATGGCTATAAAAAACCAAATGTTTAAAATTCTAAATTTTTATGCAAACATAAGTAGTATAACTATTCAATTTTTTAACTGCTAGCAAGTTGTGTAACTGTGGACGTTGTGTAATTTTATACCTTAATGAAGTAGTACCTCAAAAGTGAAGTGACACGAAAGAAATGAATGCAACAATGAAGAATGAAAAGTTTATAACCTTGCCAGGCGCAAAATCTTTCAAACCAACAATCGATATTTTATCATTTGGCTGAACTTTATCGTAATCATTTGGATTAGCAAACGTCAATGGAAGCATACCTTGCTTTTTCAAATTTGTTTCTGAAAAAAATTTCGATGGTATAAGCTTCCAGGATCTGAAAGCAATCGATCAAATTCAACATCAATTATAAAGATTCATTCATTTAATGCCTTTTTTGTCTCTGCATCTATAGCGTAGTAAACAAAAAAATTGCTTAGGGCAACTGGAAGTAATGAAACAACGAAATTTGAGAAATGAGAGTTCAAAATGATCATCATCATAAATTTCGAAGTGACATGTGATTCTATTAACTGTAGCCTATAAAGTTCCAAAAAGCTTTCTATTTGTGATAAAGCAAAGACGAAATCAGTTTTACCATATCAAACTGGCCAGTGAAAAACTTGCCGTGAATTCTAGCAAAACTTTTCACAATGATAGCACGTCCACCAAGATGCCGAGGTTCCAAAGCTGCATGTTCACGTGATGAACCTTCACCATAGTTTTCATCACCTACTGCTATCCAAGCTACTCCTTCCGACTTGTAGTGACGTGCTGTTTTAGCTACTGTATCATATTTGCCTGTCAAATGATTGCGAACCTGTAATGATTATAAATTCTTTCCCAAAACACAACAAATAAAGTTTTAGAATCGAGTGTTATTGGTTTACAAAAACCTTTGAAGGACTTATTAAACATTTTCAATTAATAAATATTTTTCTAACCAGCACCTTAAGAATTATTATTACCTTATTCATCTCACCATTCTCCGCATTGACAGCAGTCAAGAATAGATTATTTGAAATATTATCCAGATGACCACGGAAACTTAGCCAAGGTCCAGCAGCACTAATATGGTCCGTTGTACATTTCCCTTTTACCTGAAGTTTAAAATACTTAAATGAGAGTAAATTATAAAAATAATGATAATTATTCGTACTCTGAATAATTAGTGTAGTTTAAAACACGCATTTTTAAAATAAAATCTGGTCACTTATTTACTTCAAGCAAATTTAAAATGAAATTAAATCCGTTCCTTTATGTAACTTACTTTAATTAATATCAACATATTTTCCAAATCTTTCCCATCCCAAGAATTGAATGGCTGCAGAAGTTGTAAACGCTGGCTATTTTCATCGACCACAACATTACCATGTCCTGATGGAGCCTGATAATAGTTCACACCTGGATCATAACCTTTTGGTGGTAGGCTATGACCGCTCGGTGGTTTCAACTTGAATTTGTTACCTGAAATGACACTTTCATCAACTGCATTAAAAAACAATCGCTTATGCAAATTTCAGGAGTATTCTTCATAAGCAGGTTTGAGAGCACCGAATGTGCAGAAAAAATTGCATCGAACGATCTAAACCAATTTTTGAAAACTACAGCTAACAGCCTCAATTGAACGTAAGTGGTATGTTCTCTAGAAATTTCACAAAAATATATGAACTTTATATGGAAATCAAGATATCATAAAAAATAATCAAATATAATAGTTACCGCTTGGAGTTTCAAGCTCATCGGTTAGTGGATTGAAATCAAGACGTCCAGCCAGAGTCAAGGCTGTAACCAGTTCAGGTGAAGTAACAAATGCATGAGTTGCTGCATTTGCATCGTTCCGACCAGTAAAATTACGATTATATGAAGTTACAATCGTATTTTTTTCGCCCTAAAATAGAAAAAAGCATGAAACTAGTCTTATATTCTTTTATAATTAACATTCTCTCCGATCATCAAGAAAAATACGTTAAATAATGACGACCATAACGTCTTTTATCCTGCATTCTGTTTCTCCTCGAATGACGAAAGTCTGCAAAAAAGTGCGGGATAAAATAGAAAAATAACAGCAAAAATAATTAATAAGACTTAACTTCTTAACATCTTTCCTATCCCACTGACCGATACAAGGACCGCAAGCATTCGCGAGTACTAGACCACCAAAATTTGTGAAAATCTCCGTTAAGCCATCTCTCTCCATAGTTGCTCGGATCTGTTCGCTTCCAGGTGTTATTGTAAATTTTGATTTGGCCTTCAGTCCTTGATCAAGAGCCTGGAAAGAAAATTCGGTAAAACTTTAATTTCATCAATGACACTACTAATTACCAAAGATACAAAAGATCACTACTTGGAAATGTCAATCAAATAAAATTATGCAACTTCATTTTTGAAATCCACATATATAGCGTAAGTGAAATACAAAAATAAGAAATTCTTTAGATCTTTGAAATATCATCTTGGCCATAACCGCAAATGTGAATCTTTAAAAGTACAGTGAGGGAGAGTTCAGTAAAAAATAAAACTTCTACTAGCAAACAAGTAAGTAACTAAGTGAAAAGTAATAAATCCTGATTCTTTTAGGAAGTATAAGAACGATTACCTGTTTCGCAAGATTTGCAGCGCGTGTCATATCTTCATAGGAACTATTTGTGCAAGAACCAATGAGACCGACTTTAATTTCTAATGGCCAACCATTTTTCTGCGCATTTTTTCCAAGAACATCAATTGAATGCGCCAAATCCGGGGTAAATGGTCCATTAACATGCGGTGCCAATGTGCTCAGATCTATTTCAATCA